ACACACGAGTTTTGAGTGTTAAAAGCGTGTGATACCCAAACTTACGAACCAAGTTTCCAAAGGTTGATGTTAAACGACAAACAACCCTCAAAAATCGCTGAAGTATTTTTTTGTAAAGGTTATCCACCTCGATAAAAATGACACAAAAACCTTTCAAGGAATATTCTGCGCGAGTTCTGTCTGGAACAAATGATATTCGCAAAAGTATAGTTCAAGCATCCAAAACTACACTTGTTAATAATTAACTACTTCATTTCAGCTTTTCTCATTGTACGATTCTGACTCAAGTTTGATCTTGTTATGACAAACAAAACAAGGAGAAACCGTGACTTTGAATCATAAAATTTGCAAATGACCTCACCGTCGGCATTCAGAAAAAAAACTTTCCACTTACTGCTTCCAGTTAATAACAGCTGGAATAAACCCTTTACTGAGTGAATATTTTTTCGCAACACATTAGTTCAAAGTTCAAAGGTTTTTGATTTACAACCTATGAGAAAGGCAACCATCTCCAGAGCAATGAGGACTGGGGGCACCCCAATCATCTTTAGTCTGAGTAGGCTAATCGGCTCCTGGTCTGAGGTGGTATTTTTATTAGGCCTTGAACTTTGCAAACATCAGAAATTAACTTGTTTCATCGAAGGAAGGTCATATATATCGACATACAATAGGTAACGTCACAAAAACAGGTTTTTCTTGGAAATAGGTACATTTGTAGCATAAAATCTACAGCTTTTTCCCAATTAAAAGGATTAACAGGTAATGACAGCTTTAAACGCAGTCGCAATATATATGTTGTTGTTACGTCATGTGACCAATTGTCCTAATTTGAAGCTTCCGTGAATAAACTGAAATTAGGGGCACCCAACGTCAATCTTCGGAAAATATCTGTTCGGAGGACGATTTGAGATCTAGAATTTTCGGAACAATTGTCGGAAAATTTCTTGCTTGCCTGCCTCTCCTAGGATTTTTGAACATCTAAAAAAACGGTATAATTGACCATTTTTAACGGATTTTTGCCTTAAGAAGGTCACCTAGAATTTTCGGGAGCCTTTTTCTGGCTGAAATTTTCGAAAAGGTAAGTTTTGATCGCTATAACTTTCAGATCACTAGACTTTCAGCCAGGAAATCCGAACAGATGAAAAATTTTTAGGGGATAAAAATATACCTATATCTACCGTTTAAATACTAAAATACGTTTAACAATGCTATTTTTAAGTAGTTTTGAACTGTATTCTCGTTGGGTGCCCCTGTGAAATGGTCTATTAAAGTCCTCGATAAGAGCCTTGAAAAAAAATAATGATAAATAAATACATAAATAAATAAATAAACAATGATTGTATCACTTGATTTTGTTTTCCTCATTTCCTTTAAAAGATTTTAACAGTTCTTAGACAAAAGCAAGCCACGAGACATAGAGTATTAAGGACGTTAGTCATATTGATGCATGTCAATAGTAAAATGCTTGTTAGGTTTCTCAAGGATCCGAGAAAAGCTTGTCGAAAAATTTCATCGGGTCTCAAGGGTGTTACAGTCAGGGACACCGAACAACTGTTTTCTGTAAAATATCTATTCGGAGAAGCAAATATTGCCTAGAATTTTCTGTAACTTGAGGACAACTTTAAAATTTCTACATGTCACCGTTCCATTCATGTACAAATTTCGAAGCTTATGTAGTAAATTCTTTAAGACTTTCTGACTTTATTAATTTTTCACATTTCACTGCCCAGGTTAGGCTATTTTTCGTTCAAAAAAGGAAACCTAACATTCTCGGATTCAGAAATGGGAAGGAGAGAAGAATGAGTAAAATTATCACTTTCGGGATAAATTAAATTGCATTTAAAATTTTCCGGAAAATAATACTGAAGCCCTAGTAATTTCGAAAAGACTTAAGTTCCCCTGTGATGTCCCAACAGGCACAAATTTCATAGCGCCGCTTAGAATGCATTTCTAGAGATTTACAATTCTCTGGATGGCCTAAAAAGTTTTTTTTTTTGTATTTAGGAGGAAACCGTCGTTGGGTGTCCCTATGCAGTGGTGAAAGCACCAGCCTCCCAACAATGTAGCTTGGGTTCGAATCCCGAAGACGACGTCATATTTGGTTTGACAGTGTTTAAGTTCGCTGCTGGTTGTTACCCTGGCTACGAGAGGTTTTTCTGCGGATATTACCCGGTTTCGCCCTGTCCATTAAAAATTAAGACTTCTAAAGTTCGATAGGCCCATTGCAGCTCGGATCATGCCAAAATTGCAGGATACAACCCTAAAAAACCACAGATCGAAAGAGCATAAAAAATATAGTGGGTCTGCCAAGTGTAAGGTTCTATCAACCCTTATAGGGCGATGTAATGGTGGTTTGAGTAACGGAGAAAATACTCTATGCAAAAATGGAATAAATTGGCGTGCGGTCACAAAAGTGTTGCCATATGTAAACCCTTACTGCGCTTTTCAATAACACGCGCACGCTGAACTTTAAAAAAACCAGCTTACAATGCCGTCAATCATAATTACGATCACAAGCAACGAACCTTGAAACTCAGAATCACACAAAATCGATCGAAATCCACCAATCACAAATCACAGACCATGAACTCTTGCACGTGTTGAAGTTAGCTTCGGTTTTCTAAGAGGTCAGCTAATATGATTGACGGCAGCGAAGAACGCAAACGTTAGTTGCCTTTAAAACTTACAAAATTTTAGTCTTTTGGTCAATTACCTCAAATTGGTTGTCCAGCTAATAATCTTTCTGTTCCTTCCATCCATCATAGTTTTTAAAAGTAGGTCACGTGACTGCGAGTTGCAAAGGGCCTTTTCGATCCGGAAATGCGCGAACGCTTTCAAACGAGTTCACGGGGGACCCTATAAGTGTTTCGATACATTTCTAGTTGCGGACCTCTTCTTCAACGATTTTTCTCGTCTTTTTTTTTTTGGCGCGAGTCAATATCAATAAAACTGACAGCAGAAATTTAAGCCAACGAATAACAGCAAAATTTTTTACTGGACGCGATATTCTACAAAAAGTAGGGTCTACATTAGCTTTGAATTCGCAACAAATCTTTATGACACCGGTCAAATTTTTTTTTTTTCATATTACTAATTAAAAAGAGTTACAGGTTTTCTCAAAGTTTCGTAGCCGTCGCATTGAAACCGAAAAAGTGAGGAGCAAAATTTTGTCAAAGATCACCGCCCCTCGAATAACAATGGAGCTACCGGCATTTTGACTGCAAATTATTGTAGCATAAAACAAGCCTTCATATTACTGAGAATGTCTCGCTTTCTATTAACCATACACACTTTCCTACAAATTCAGACTACATATGACATGAAAGAACAAGTTCCTAGAGTGCTACACTTTACAGGAGCAATAACTACATAGTTCTTGACTTCAGAGCTAGTTCATCGCTTTATTGCGACAATATTGTTTCGTATGGTCAAACATGACCACACTTATCAGGCTTTGAATACAAGCTACAGGCTCTTGCTAGGTAGTAGTTGTGACACCTAATTCTTAAAGTTTCGGACTACATCTTACTCATGTTTCTGAGGGGGCACGAATTTGCTAATTCATTGCGCTTATTTAGGGTGCACAGATATTTTTTGTAGTTAATTACAAACATATAACATAACATAACATAAAACTTTATTTATACTCGAATTTTAGAGTAGCTAACAAGCTAATATCTTCGAGCTGACACTACATAAAAACTATATAGAAAATATATATATACATTAAATGCAAGGAAAGAAAATATCATTTACAATTCACAATTTTAAGTTTAAGTATGTCAGGCAAAAAGAAAACCTTTCATAGAGACATAGCCTATGTCCCTATGAGAAGTGTGTAATCATCTAAAATATATATGGACTTTCCCGAATGTATTCACACGGCTTCAGTGGGGACCATTTTTGTCGTCGAGTTGTAACAAGCATGTGAAGACCCAACTTTTCACAAAGTTTAAAACACTCTTGGGAACACTAACATTTGTTTGAAAATCTAAGGTGGCTCAGAACGCGCCGCTATGAATTTTGTTTAATTTTTATAACAAGTCCAATCTTAACATGCTAATTCCCATTAAAAACGTAAGACTAGGGCTCACCGAACTAGTTTTTTGAGTTAAGATCTATTCAAAAATTCTTAGCCATTTGTTTTTAACATCATTGCTCTGGTAAAGCGAAGAGTGTTGTAGCAGTGATCCATTGATGCTTTAAGTGCATCTAGTAAACCAAGCAACGAACTGAGTCTAAACGAACGACGCAGCAATAGTTGCAGAGATGGTCTTTGGAAAAACATATCCCCCAATTTACTTTAGTTTAGCAAGCAAACACATTAACGCAAAAGCACTTGCATTTCAAGAACCCTGCGGTTTTTAAGTCCTGTTTCCATCGCCCAATATCTTAATCATGATACTTACAGCGTTCAGTTAAATATATTGAGGCCGACCAAATGTAAATCGAAAATGGCAAATTAACCAACACTCTCGAAAAAATTATCTTTCACAAGAAAATTAATTTTCGTTTTAGCCATCTTTAAAGCAAATATTGTAACTACTTCTTTGCACAATCAACAGCGACAAACATAAGCTCAATCCTTCACTTTTAAATGGATGCTTTTTTCAGGTGCGAATTTTAATTTTCTCTACAGAAGCCACAGAATATTTTAACGCGCAAAACAGAGTAATATCTACATTTTAAGTGGGTGTTATTTTATGCTTAAGTAACCCAAAATACTTTGAAAGTGCGCCAAAAAGACGCCTGTTTTATTACAAACCCCATTTTCGTTACCTATATTTTAACTAAATATAGCCGGAATTCGATCTGACACATTTACTTGAGCAAAGAAATAAGGAGCTCCTACTATGCGGTACCTGTTTTAAACGTACAATCGGATGTCAGTATTTTTTATTATGTAGCTGTCAGTCTTAAATGCGCAGACAACAGAATTCTATTAACGAGTCGACAGCTGCTGGGTTCAAACAAAATTATGTCAACTCTCTGTTGAGTTAGGAGAGTAGAGAAGCCGCTTGACTAATCCGGAAGGAAGATTATTCGGGTTCGAGGATTTGTAAATTATTGAAAACAAACTCGTCATAGAAACCTATAATTCAAAGGCGGTGGGAAATGTACGCTATAAATGAAGAGGACAGCTTTCTTCCCGCCATTCTGAGCAACAACCCGACGAAACAACTCGCGCAAGTTCGAGGATTTTACGAGCGCCAACGAGAGCGTAGTTTGACGCTCGACCGAAATTTGGAAGACATAAGAATGGCGTATTGCACAAGGCTTTGCGCGGAAAAGCAGCGACTTAGTAAGTCTTTGTGGGAGCTGGAGATGCGGAAAAGAAGGTTGCTGCATCAGGTCATGGAGCCGCAAACAAAACGAACTTCATCATGGAAACGGAAGAGTGTATCAGAGGCAAAAAAGCAACGCTTTAAACAAAAAGAAAAAGCAAAACGCAAATCGGAAAGCAGGTTGATTTCCCCGAAAGATGAACACTCAAACAGGCAAGACGGGAATACAAGACAAAACCAGGAAGATGACCAACAGGAAATCGAAAAACTAGAGATACCAACATTTCTTTTACGCTGAGTTCTAAATATTTATAGTGCACCCAGTGGGGTTGCTAAGACACGACGATAGACAATTTTACATAAGACAATCGGATAAATACGGAACTTGTAATTACTTGAATACTTTCCCTTAAGGAAAGATGCTTCAACAAAGCGGGTCAACGGCTTTATACGTTTTAGCACACGAAACCGAGTAACGTTTGCAAAGGTAAAACCTTAGGTTGATATTTATCAACAAACTGCTTCAATATAAATTTTCTTTCGTTGTTAAACAGCTGGGTACTCAAAAAGTTTAAAATATTCGTCTCGTGCTGTTGCTAAAACTGATCGTAGAAAAAGGCGTTAAAGACATATGCGGCGGCTTAACTATTTTTCATTAAACTAGGTTTTAATGTAGAATTTAGAGAGGTTAAATTCATCCAGTTTTGTTTACAAACTAAAATGAGTTTTACGCAAAAAGTAAACATCTTCTACATATTTAACAGTCATATTAGCCCGATTCATCTTTCACTATACTTTCGATTTATAAATTCTGACATAAAGTCAACAATAAGAAAAAAAAGTAGTGGCACCCTGTCGAACTATGACATTAACTTGGCTGAGAGAAAATGAAGTGTATAAAAACATTGAAGAAGAAAATGATGATTCAAAGGCCAAAACAAAAAACGCGTGTATAATACCAACCCCAGCTGAGAGGGATGGGTGAATGAAAATGACGACTTTTAGTATTCGTGATGCTAAATATTCCAGTGTTAAAAACTTAATTGACAAAGGGTTTTCAATGGCAAAATCACGTTCTTTGCCATTGTGAGTTGACCCAACTCCTCTGCCTTCACGCTGTGTAGTAACAATGCGAAAGGGAAACAGCGCAGAGCAGAAATACATTGTACAATTACCTACTTCAACGTTACTTTAAATAATACACTAGAATAAATAGACAAAGAGATCTAATTATTACTTTTTAAAAACTGCATGGAAGAGCTAATTTACAATAAATTCAGAACATGGTAAGGTCACAGTAAATGTTTCAATTTAACCATTTCTTACTAGAATCTAAAACTAACGTGTTTTAAGCAGCGCCAAGGAGGCACAGAATAGAAGGAAAAAAAATAACTTAAAACAGAAAGAATATTCCATGCTTGAAAAACGAACAACATAGAGATTTGTAATTGACTTTTATCCATGCTACTATTAGGCATTGTAAAACCTTGCAATTTCTAGCTTTTATTTCTTTTCGTGGTCCAATATTCACCAATTTAGCAAGCGTGCAAGAGGGTCTCTTAAGAACCTTACGCACAACAGATTAAAAAGGTTAGAAGGCAATACTCGAAAAACGAGAAAATACTAAAATCTAAGTATTATTACATCAGAAGATCTGACACTATAAGACTAATCTATCCCGCTTTTTACAATAAATGTCATCTGTATTAAAACATTCGATAACAGCGCAAAAAGTAGCGCAGCTACCGTCAACATTTTTCAAAGTCACGTTCTGGCGCATAAAATTACAAAATGGTCGACAGACTCGGCCAGAAAAAAATGGACGCTTTGCGCAACATTACATTAAAGGGGTGCAAATGAGAAAATGGCTACCCAGCTATCGCGACTTCGGAAATACTTACACACAACATCTCACGGCTTCATACGCGAATAACCAGGGTGTAACATACGAATATTAAAAGAAAAAGTAAAATAACGTTTCATGCAAATGTCTATCACACTTTAGCTTTAGAAAGACCACTGACACAACTAATAAAAGCACTACGGCCTAAATGACCCTGGGTACATGATCGCCGATTAATTAAAGATCGCCAAATTGGTGACTTTCGCTGCAATTTAAGTCGCCATTTTTGTTCTAGTTGCCATTGCCATTGCCATTGTTGTTGTCGGCAAGAGGATGCGCCCCTAATGGCGAGCGAAGATTCTTCGGGCGTTCAAGTTTTAAGCCAGAGACGAACTATAAAGAATTGAAATAGAACTTAAAGAATAGGATCAACTCAGGTTTCTGGGAAACTCCCCACCTACCCCTTCCCTAAGCCAACATTTTGCCCTAAGTGAGAAGTAAGTGATAATGTTGGTTTAGGGGAGGGGTAGGTAGGCAGTTTCCCAGAAACCTAAATTGGTTCGAATATTTCATGCCAAACTTTATCGCGCCTTAGCTTTAGAAAGACCAATGACTCAACTAATTAAAGCATACTACCCTGGGTACATGATCACCGATCACAGGTCGAGATATTCCGGCAAAAGAGAGGCCTTTAAGTTGATAGTTAAGCATTTTTTAAACAAGAATAAATGTAAACCACTTGAGCCATTTACCCAAATAAGCGCAAGTATTTGTCACCATTGTCCCTCCGGGGCCCATATTCTTCGAAGAAGGGACCTGGTAAGGACATTTTAGTGGCACATTTAACATTTTACCTCAGGGATATAGTTCGAAAGTTATTTCAAAGTGTTCGTTTCTATTAGTGAACTCGACTGATCCACACGTTTGGTTTAAAAATGGTGTCTTTAAGACTGTTAACTTTTATTTTTATTCGATTAATGATGATCAATGAAGACCAACAACATTAAGAACAGAATATTTCGTCTCAATAAATAATTTTTTGTCAAACAATTTGACAAATTCATTTCAGAATGTAGCGATAAAACGCTCGAAAAGAAATTCATGTCGATAAACTGTTTATATAATTTTACAGTATAAAATAATATTGACTACACAAAAAAAATAAAGGAAACTAAAAATGTGTATGTTATATTGTACCTATAGGGTAAAGAATAAAAGTTAAAAATATTTTAAGAGAAAACCACTTACTCTTCCTAAACAACAGAGGAGTCGAAAGGCCAAATAAGACAAAGTTCGTGGTTTAAAGTCCCTTTTTGCAAAAGCGTTAGAGTTACGTCATCCTCCAGATGGTGACCAAAATGGGGAGTACTGGTAACCAGATCAGGTGAGATACGTGAGCAAAACAGGTGACGTAAACAGTGTAGCCAATAGAAGGATCTGTAATAATGTGCTAAGTAGCCGAACACGTGAGATAATCAGTCGCAGCCAATTGGAGGACCTGTTATAAGGATCTATAAGGTACTAAGAAGCTGCTGTGCTTGGTCGTAAGATTCTTTGTCCTAATTTTGGGTTAAAAAAGAGAACGACCGTGATGTCAATTTTTCAGGTGAGAGACCGAAGAAAAGAAAGGAGGAGAAAGAAAGGGAAGTGGAAAGAAGTTCATCTGCAGTGTGACTAATATTTTGAGCTTCCTTTGGCCAAACCGAAAACAACTAAGGAAAATATTGGAAGGGGAAATAACCTCACAATCCTTGGCCAGACTGCCGTTTTTATTGCGCGGTTTTGTACCGTACCACAAGTGAAATTTGACGTCTTTAAACAGTCGAAACGCGAGGAAGAAAAATGGATATCGAACAAACTTTCGCTCTTTTATCAAGAAACTATGTAGGTTCAAACAGATTTTCAGTTGGTCCATCCTACATGATAGCAATAATAAACCGCCTAGTAAACTCTGTTTAGTAGAGGAATTTTTCTACTAAACGAGGCTTAGCTTAGCTTAGCTGTCTTAAAAGACAGCTACCTAATTTATTTACTTCACTATAATGCATGTAAGAGTAATTTCACTCACATCTTCCGAGGTTACAGGGAGAGATATTGCTTTCTTCAGCCACTCTGATGCTTTTGCTACATCGCCATTTTGCTTGTAACACTACAAAAGAAAGCAAAAAACAAATCAAAGGCATGTCGTGGGCGACTACTATGTCGTACTCCCCACGATCATTATTTTATTGAAAAAAATCAGGAAATCCTGCTCTTAAAGTATCCCAGCAAGTTACTTGGGTTGCCTGTGCAAGTCGAGGCACTCACCTGTACGCACAACGATGTTCAGACTATTATCGATGCGAATAAATAGCCACTAGTCTGCCAAGCAGGGCGCATAAGAGCAACATATTGATGCAGCGTCAAGTTGCCAGACTTGACGAGTTTTCTTCACAAGTACGTGTAAGGCGAAGGTAACAAGTAAGCAAGAAACGGCTTTTAGTGATAACAATAAAAATAAAGGAATAAAAAAGTAAAAATATTTACCCTTTAAATCCTAAGAATGGCCTAAGGAATTTAATAAACAAGATTTTTTAAATTCCTTTTTGTTAAATCCTAAGAAATAAATAGATAAAACGTCTGCCAAAGAGGTGTAATCTGATGGCTAACATCAGAGCATTTTGCTCACAGATTTTTACAAAGTTAGAGTGGCAAGTCGTCCCGCCATAACTTGGTTGAGGAGTGATGTACATGGTAGCCTGCGTAGCAGGCGCTTGGAAGTAGTGGGCACAAGAAAAAACGGGCGCGCGAGAAGGAGACACGCCCCTTGCGTGTCTCCCTCGCGCGCGCCCGTTCTCTCTTTCGCCCGCTACTTCCAAGCGCCTGCTACGCAGGCTATGTACATGGCGGAGTCGTCAATACTGAACAAGATAATAGTGAGCAATAGCACTTTTGAATGAATTTTGCCGTGGATTGACTGGTATCAGTCTTTGCAAAGTGCAATCTATCCTTCCTCTTACCTTTGCTATCCAGTATGAGTTTGAAAGCCAGAATCCCGGTTTGATTTCCTCGGCCTGTAGGAACAAGTCACTTGGTCAGGGAAAAAAAATTTCCAGAACAATTCTTGTGGATAAAACTGGCGTGAAACCACTCATTTTTGTGTAGAAGTAATTAACAGTAAACAACAATTAAAACTTGGTCACGTGGTACAAATTCGCGTTTGCTGTTTGACGTGGACGTGATGCTTAACCTCTCTAGTGACGTCAAACGACGAACGGCAAATGTAACAGCCTCGTTCCCAGGGTTCTCTCTTCCTCCCTTCTCGAGGCAAGAGAGAACTCTGGGAAGGAGGTTGCAAACGTGAAAAATGGCGGGAAAAATTGATCACTAAGTCACCTAGTTTGCAACAAACGTTCTCTAATGTCAGCAACTATCTAACGATAAATTTGACGCCTTTCCTACCGTCGAAACTCCTCTCGTAAGCTACCATGCACCTTTCCAAAACACCAGAATTTTTCCAACGAATTCACCGTAGTTGGAATTTCCATCGTTCATATAACCTCCTGTGCGCGACCACAAGACACATAATCTGAATATTTACAACTCAACTCTGACACAGGAGGGACTTCCTCGTTGAACAAGGATAGGTTTGACCGACCAATGATGAAAGAATTTAAAGTTCCCCATAGCAACTGAAATGAAAGGTTAACTTACCTTTAGAAAATTCTTTAGCGCTTCTTCTATTGTGGATGACGGTGGTGCTGCCACGAACGCTGAAGCAGCTTTCCTTTGCCACCACGAAAGCATAGAAATCTAAGTTTACCGAAACAATACATACGGACGAGTTACAAAGAAAGTTACTCCAACTGACCGTGAGAGACACAAAATCAGATATCACAATCTATCACAATCAAGGAAAATAACAAAATCTCAATGTTTCGTTTGAAAAACTGCAATAAAAAAAGGAACTACCAAATGAACAAACGAACAAAAAAAACATTTTCAATACCAACGAAGTTCAAGTTTTTTTATTCAGTATTTTACAGGCGAATTTACAAGCTGCTCTTCCCACAAATAGCAGGGCTAATCTAGGCAGGTAGGGCAAATCGGCTAGTTTTAATACATGATCAGATAGTTTTAGAACACTAAGTGACCGAGTTAGTTTGAAAATGGAATTGGTTCGTTATGCTCGCACAATTGACGGAAATTTTTTTCTATCCATCATTTCCAGAGTGGAGGGAGTACAAAGCACAGCCTATTCTGCTCGAACTTGCGACGGAAATTTGCCGGAAAGTTTTTAACTACAGGAATTGACCATGTTCTACGGCGTAACGATCATCGAAAATGAGGTTTTGCAGCCCCATTGAGCACAATTTTCACCCGTACCTCATAGCACCACCTTCCTAGGAGATGATAGCTTGATGGATCATTCTCATCAAGGTTAATAGCTTGTTCAATGTGCTCCTGAGGCAGAAAAAAAGAGAGAAAGAAAGAAACACTGTGTAAAGGACTCGCTTTCTCAAGATTCAATTATCTTACAGAAAGAGTAAAAAGCTTACTAGAGACTGGTTATCCCCTCATGATCTTCAGGCTGACAGAAAAGACCATCAAAGAAACACAACTTTGAACACAATACGGTAGGTGACTGGAGTACTCTATTAGGCCCCTTTTATGGAGAAAACGAGAAGGGTCACCCGTCTACCCATCCTGGGCAAGCCAACTTTTACTACAGCCATTTCCTTATAAAATACTTGACAAACCATTTACAGTGTTCATAAGAAACTAAAAGTTGTGGCCTAAGAGCGGTGGCCTGCATAGCCGGGACATAGCCAGGTCACCCTTTTGTGACAATAGGGTCACCCTCTCAACTGGGATAACTTTTCTCCAAATTCCCCATTTGCACATCTCCCAAAATACCCCTTGTTTGCCTCCTACCCCCCCTCAATTTTGCATAACCTTTGTTTTTTATTTCTCCTGGGTATTACAGCCATCCCAAGAGAAATTGAAATCAATGCTTATGCAAAAGTTTTTGGGGGCAAACAAGGTGCAATTTGGGAGATGCAAAAGTGGAGAATAAACACTTTGCTCGCCCAGCCGGCTCAACAATCAGAACATAAGCAAACTTTTTGGACAATCAGAGCATGTGCAAAAGCTGTTGGCTTGGGCAAAGGGGTCAACGTTTTTCTTATATAAACACCCGTAAATGACTAGGCTGGGGGGTGCCCCTTTTATTAGGTACAACTTTTGTCTGTACGTTCTAGAAGACGACGTAAGGGAGCTTTAGCAACGATGATGGTGATGGCAGCAAAAATGTCACTACTAATAATGGATTTGCATTTTTTAAACTTCGTTCTGAAATTACAACTTTCCTGAAATGTCAAATGCACATGTAGGTAAATTTTCCTGGAGATGAATTTTTGGGACCACACCCAAATTTAGGAAGAGAAAGAAACAGTTGCCGTCACGTGTTTAAGTCCTTCATACAACTTCGCAAAACGAAATTTCACATTGAGGTCGAGCAGAGACTGTAAAAAGATGTACCAATGAAAAAGTGTGCTGCATAAGCACTTCTTGCCAGCAGCGAGGAAAGATGGCTGTATTTGCTTGCCCCATGTAAGCTAATCCAGAATCCTGGGCTTTGGAATCTGGAATTCAGCTCAAGGAATCCAGAATTCCTTGAATGAATCTGGAATCTGGATTCCGGAATCCAAGTTCCACTTACAAGGAAATCAAATCCGGAATACACAGCGCGGACTGCTTAATTTAAGACTGTCTTGGATTACCTTACAGGGGTGAATTCACAGGCTAAAAGCTCCCTTACAGTTGAAGAAAGAATGACCCTGGGATTTTGCGGGCTACTTTAATTTGATGGTGCCATGGTCAAGAGAAAGTTTGGTACACCGTACCTTGTATTTAAATCCAAGCAGTATTTGATTTTGTAAACTTTCATAGTCTGTTGTACTTCCAAGAATTATAGCATACCTGTAAAATGGGAATAACTTGAAATTGTAACAAACTGTTATAGGAGACATTACTGTTGTTTTTGTTTTTCAAATTTGCCACTCGAGTGAAACACACGAATGCACTCCTGGTTGGTACATTCCCTTGCACAAGTTACCAGTAGGTGTCAAAGTTTTCTTTGAACTTTTAAACTGATGATGTCACAAGCGATGCAAGGGGTGCCGATCCCCACGGGTGGTAACGGACAGTTCATAAGTGAATGGATTAAGTCACTTCTTTCTTTGGGAACACTTTTTATATTAAAACAATATACTTACCATTTATGTGCAATTGCACTATTTCTGTCCCATTCAATTGCTTTCTCTGCTTTTGCTACACCTACAAAAATTAATGGATTATTCACCATCATTAGTCTACATAACAAACAGATCCAAATACTAAAATGTATCAATATGAACTATCTGGTGTTATCGTTGTTAAGCCCAGTCCTCACTAGTGATACAAGTACAATTAACAAACATAAGACAGTATGAGAACAAGAGGCTTGTGTGCTAGTAAGACGGGCTTAACACAAAGAGGAATAATTTGAGCGCAAAGTTTTGATATTCTTGTTTTCATGCTTACACTGTTTACTTATGTTAAGGCCATCCTCACTGTCAAGTACATATTAAGCTTCTTATGCACATGCTTATGCTTACGCTTGCGTTATGCTTACTCCTATGCTTAGTGCTTGGGTTGATAGTGAGAATCAAGTGTAATAATAATAATAATAATAATAATAATAAAACCTGTGACCAACTACTACACTATCTAACCTACTAATCTACTCATCAAGTGTTACATGTAATACGTGATCATTTGGTGTTTCAAACATTTAATTGGTGCATGTGTTACTTTTGCTGAACTAGTAGTGTTGGGATTGCAAACTAACTTTACTGTATCTTGTAGAGTCCAAGAGCAGTACAGGAAGTTTTTTTTTTTAGGTTTCTAATCAGTACTGGTACTAGATCACAGAGATATACATGCCAATTTCTGGAGCTCTAAAATCTATAGCCTGTCGTTTTTGCAGTAGTACCCCTTCCAGATACCCCTCCACCTGTTAGTACCCCCTCCATATCAAATACCCCTCCGTATCATTCTCCCTTCTGTTTTCACCAGAAGGGAGGGTACTTGATACAGAAGGCAAAAGAGGGAGTCACCATATTTTAGACCTGCATTTGTGTGTGCTGGTTAGCCATGTGCCACACGTTTTCTCAGTTATGTGTACTTTGTTATTATTAAGTGCATGTACAGCAGGTGTAACTAAAAAAATAAGAGAATATCTGTACATACTTTCTTTAGGTGAGTAAAAATTAATCCACATCCAATTCTGAATGAGCAGTGTATTTAGGGTACCTTCATATAATAAACTCTTTTTGCCCTCGGCGTCTCCACTCTTTCCTTTCAACAAAGCAATGTCATAACATGATCTTGCATATCTCCAGGATAGCTCACAACTTTGTTGGTGCTGTGTTGTCAAAGAGTTTACAAATCAGTCACTCAGGAACATGAAGGTAATGAAGTGACAAATCACACAACGACCACGTTCCAAGGGAGTGCACGAGTTTTAAACTCAAATAATAATATAAAATTATAGAAACTGTTTGGACCTTGAAATGCAGTGCAACCAGAATAACTGTGCAACGTATTAAAATGCTTACCATTTGTGATGATTCCTCTAAGATTTTATGTATTTTATACTTGTCTTCAGCATTATTACTTGAGTGAAGTCCATCCACTTCATCAATGACTTCTTTGAGCTGGTCGACTACTGGAGCACTAGTTAATAAACAAAAATTAATTATTATGAGCAAATATTTTAAACTCAGTCTGATATTTAATGGGAATTGGTTGATACCAATCGGCCACCAACTACATGTTAATTTATTTTAACTTGTCTCCGGCACTACCTTTGTCCTCAAACACGGCAATTTAGAAGGGACGAATTATTAGAGACTGTAACACTGCAAACTCTTGAAAAGCCACAAAAAAAAAAAAAAAAAATAGAAAAAAGAGAAGGTACTGCAATAAATACCTTACTAAACTAGTCAGCCAAAAGTGAACACACCGTCATTCGTCTAGGGTGCAGCGCCACAAATTTCTCACAAACTACACTTCTGTTGATAATTCTGCATTTGCCTGCATGGTGATTACATGTATTTCTACCTTTTTTGGGACCCACGTATTTCCGTTTGTTTTTCTGTGTATTAACTTTTTTAGGTGGGCTGTCCTAAAGTGGGGTGTCTAGCCACCCAATCCTCCCCGACTGGATCTACCCCTGAGTATTGGTCGAGTATCAGCCGCTATGTTTGAAGTATCGACCAATCAATAGTCAACCCTCAGCCAAAATAGTACCGGTAGTGTGTTATGTATATCAGTGAACTGTCAGTCAAGTTGTTGCTGTATAGGTAGCCTGCGTGCAGACGATAACTAAACTCTGACGGAGTTAACCAGAGTTTAATTTCGTCTGCGCGCAGGCTAACACCCCCTTGAATCTTGAATTAAAAACCTCTGGCAATGTTCAGGAGTTGTTGGAAATCATTCGGAAATGCTAGTTATGTGGATATGAAAATCTCACGCATTAAATTAAATATTTAAGAAAGAAAAGTCGGAAGGAATAGAATAGGTGAGTAATTTTTTCGGGGGGAAATGCACATGGCAAAATGGCTAAAAACTTAGAGTCTGGCCACTGATCAAAGCTTACTAACCTGTCTACTGGTATTGAAGAAAAATAAAAACAAAAACATCTTTTAATAGGGTTAAAATGATTAAACTTGAAACAGACCTTGATAAAGGCTCAGTTTCTCCAGACATCTCATAAAACTCATCTTCTTCTGTCTCCTCTTCGTCACTTTGTCGACCAGATAACTGGCCTTTCAGCGGAACTATTCGTGTTGTTGTAGTCTCAGTGAAGCAAACTTCAAGCCTCACCATAACGCCACGAAGTTCTTTGATCTCGTTGGTCAGCTCCGCAAAGTGAATCACAAGTTTTTGATCTTGTGTTTGCAAAGGGAACACTTTCCTTGACGCAGCTATTCCTGCACCTATTCCAATCCCTATACCTAATCCAATGGAGACTCCGACGAGCACATTTTTCCCCAAGGAAAAGGAGAAATCAAAAGATGACAACCAAGACGCCATCTTGGTTTCTTGCGTGACAAGAGAGTGGTCTGGGAACAAGATTGAAAACCGCTGGAATTGGAGGAAATCACGGGCGCATTAGAATAATTTTGCTTCTCTTCTGCTCTGAGGTTGTTTTTGATCGGGAACTTCATTTCGAAACCAAGCTAAGGGCGATCAACATGCCGTACGTCTTAATTAGTGCGCAAATTAGGCTGGTAAGAACTTCCTTGGTGAACAAAATAGCCAGTGATTCGGCACGCAAATCACTAGAGTTAATCATGCTTTTTAAATTTATATACTGGCCTTTATTTTTGACGTATAGTAGTCACGTTCACTGGTTATATTTGTGTTGCCATTCAGGCCATTGGACCAACAATGTGTGGTGACGAATGGGCAGATCCAGAAGTGATGAAGTATTTGAACGCAGAGTTGATACACCCTTTGCGGCACGTTACCCTTACCATAGTTATTAGAGGGGAATAATTTGTAAGTTTACGACCCTTTGCGGCTGTTGGCAAATTGTTACGTTAACCAACAATGGTCAATACAATCACCCGATTTTTTTCTTTCAGGCATATAACGGGTCTGACGGGGGAACTATTGGAGGACGTTAGAATTTTTCGCACGGGTCGGTTAGGACGGATGTTAGGATGTGCCGTTGTCGTGGTGCAGGTGAATTTTGCAATCCTATGCTGGACTGAACCCCCAAACAAATTGCTCCCCATCCCAGAGTGGCTTTTTTATAGAAACTTCCGAGGTTGACCCTTTCTTTGCTATTATTTTTTAGTTGTGTGTAATTTTGCCAATTTCATATTTTTGAGTGTGGACAAAACAATAATCTTGTTTTCTGCAGAGTTTGTAGGGGGGTCAGGAAAACGAAGGCAAGTGCCGAGCAAGTGAGGAGCACTAGCCATGTGCGACAGGGGAAGGTGCAGAAAAACTGTAGACCTGCCTTCCCCTGTTGTGTGTGTCTGGCACTCCTGGCTCACTTCACACCTGATTTTGTTCCTCTTAAAACCCGAAAAGAAAAATCCATGTTCTACAGGCTACATGGAAACAAGAGTTTAGTTCACAGCACATGGAAACACTTTGTTCATTTGAACCAGCATGGTGGTTGAGACATCAGCTGAAAACTAGCAATATTTGCTCAGCTATTTGCTTGGCCTCACTTTTCCTTGTGCTCTAAATACCAAGGGTAAATAAAGATTTTATTCTTTTGTAGCAAAGAGTACATATGCTCAGATCCCCCTCGTGTTGTGCTTGACAAGATGGAAAAGATAGGCTATAAAGTCATTGCCAGCACTGGTGTTGGGCAGACAATTATCTGGACACTCTACAAACCAGATGGAGATGCTCAAAATGGTGAAACTGCATCTGACAGGTAAACAATATGGCTGCAGAGCTGTAACTCCAATTGTGAATCAATACCATTGACTGCCACTTATAAACCCTGAGCTAGCTTATACATCTTCATAAGGGGTTTTAGAAGGGCTTTAATGAAGGGGCTTATATCTGCGGGGGTTAATGTAACCTGAATAGAAAATGCACTTTCCGATATAAGTATTAAATACATTTTGCATTTAGCTGTTTTTGTTTAAGCTTCAAAATGTCATAATAAATCAAATTCATCAGAATACAACCTAGACTAGAGGGGGCCTCATATCTGTTGGAGTTTTATAGTGGAGCTCCATGCACTCACGAAGTGGAGCAAAATTACTACATTACTAAGAAAAATTGGTAATCTATCCATCCGAGAAATTTTGGTTATGATGTCAGCATATAACCTCCCATCCTTACAGATGCTGGGGGAAGGCGAAGGGAGTCTGACATCAGCCCGACTGGAGGTAGCCTCTCACGCAGGCTTTTTTAGGGGAGCTCGAGGACGAGCTCCCCTAAAAACCTCTGTGTGGGAAGCTAGACTGGAGGAGGATATGTTGTATTTTCTTGGGGGGAAAATGTGTGATGCTTTTGGGCAATCTGCATTTTTCTATCTCCCCTAAAGTTAACTGATTTGTCCAGACTACATGTTTATTGTTTGATTTAAATTATGAATTTAGTAACAGGAGCTTTGCTTTTACCCCTGGCTAAATCTATATATTAATCGGATGTATTTTTTTGTTTACAGGTAATGGAGCCTATAACTTGTGGGACTTATATAAGTGGCAGGTTACAGTATTTTCTTTTGTTGCCTACATCGTGTGTTCTGCACATACATAAGAAATTTTTTGTTACTTAACTATAAAAGTGACTTAATCACTGTTTTCTTCCTTTATCTGCAGATAAACAGAAGAATATGAGCAGATCAAGTGAATGGAACAAGAAAATAATAATTATTATATTTTTATAATACTGACTTGTAACAGTATTTAAATGAATGACCTCAAATATTTATTATCACTTAAGCAAGGGAGGTCAAAGTCCATTCTAACTTATCTGCAGTATTGCTGGTTGTTAAAAAAATAAAGAAAGAAAAGGGAAAAGGACTTGTTGCCATTCACTTTGCTTACACTTGGCCATGTCACAAAAAAAAAACATGAGTTTAAAGTTAATACCATTATTATCAGCACTTCCATGACAACAAGACTTTTGTCATGATGATCGCTTTTACTGCCAATAGATCATTAAATCACTACATACTGCAGCCGTACTGTACCTAAACCAAAACAACAGCTCTGATCATCACCTTTGTTACAGCTTAAAAAAAGAGGCGACGTTTCATCATGCCAACATTGGTTTCCCTGCGAAATGACATCTGATGAACTACTCAAGAAATTCCATACTGATGACATGTCACTCTGAGACCCCAGATCCTGGTAGCGCTTCTGATTAGGGTTGACTATTGGGTAAATTTAAATTATTGCATTATTATTGTCTTGCAATAGGTCGCATGGATATTGTGATAGTATTGGTATAGTGGAGGTACTACCGAGCTGATTGTGTACTCCGGATTTCAAGTGACAGGGATCATTGAATGGGGGCAAAAATCAAAACCAAAAAAATTCCCTAGGGCTTCAAACAAAACCCCCCAAAAATCCTTCAAACCCCAAAAAATTGGGCGAATTTCTGAGCCATATAAATTTATTCACGGAATTAAGCCACCGAGACATGTAGTAACTTTCACAAATCTTTAGATTGCTTTGAATACCCAAAAAATCCTACTTAAATCAAGCTACCCCAAAAAATATTGCCAAAGTTTTTCAACCCAAAAATATCCTGAAATTGAAAATTTCAAACCCACAAAAATCTTTTGATTATTCCTGTCACTTGAAATCCAGAAGCATGGTGGCATGACCAGTCAGAAGCACTACCCAGATGTGGGTAGTGACAGGTCATCAGTATGGAATTTCTGCACTCATTTCTTAGATGTCATTTCATGTAGAAACCAGGAGTGGCATTGCAGTGTCATCTCTTTTCTCAGGCTGCCATTGATACCATCAACAATATCACCATCCAACAGCATTGCCTTCATTGCCATCATCATCATCATCATCATCATCATCATCATCATCATCATAACATCACCATTATAGCACCATCTCCAGCCACATTACGACACCACCATCATCATCATCTTGCCATCACTGGTACCAATATCACCACCATTACCATTATACCATACACAGCTACAATAAAAAATGATCAACCTTGTTCCCATTGTCTTGGCCAAAAGCCCAGCCATCACCATTGCCAACAACAGCAAAGCCATTATTACCACGATCATAAATAATATTACCCAGCCCTGTCCCCTCCTACAACACTGGCCATTACAT